GCCCCCCAAAGGACGGAAAATGCTTCCTTCAAATCGTGCAACATCCGGCCAGTGTTCTCTCTGGTCGTTTTGTGTGTGTGTCTTTCTCCTTTTTTCCAAACTTGAGTCCCAACCAGGCCTCTGCACTGCATTTGCCCCACATGCGTCTTGAGGGTCTTAAACTGCAGGGCCCCCCTCTGTTTGTTTCCTGGTCGTCTATTGGCTGAAGAAATGGAGCGCTCGTCCCGTGGGGTTTCCCACGCTCTGGATTTGGCTGGTGGCATCCTTCTGGGTTTTATACCAAGTTCTTCTATCCCCGCATGTCCCGTAAACTGGAACTTAACTCTTGATGGTTTTAAAATGTTTCTTCAAGAATAATTCACAGCCCTCTGATGCTGGTTGGAGAGATGTCGAGACTTGTGAAACCTTTGAAACCACTTAAAAATGCTCCAATGCTTGTTACTTCTAACAAGCCACGAGCATGCATCTCTATGATGCTCAGAATGGAGGGGCGGCGCGGGCAGGGTTATTCAGTGAGCCAGTCTTTCAGAAGACCCCCACTGGTGCTTCTGAAGGCCAGCATAAGGCCAGCATAAGCCCAGACCGGGGACAAAGGAGCCCTCAAGGAGAACTCGAACTGGGGGAAGCTTCAGACAGGCCTTTCCAGAATTTCGGGGGGGAGACAAACTCCTGCCTTGCTCTGGGAGGGGCGGGGCGTTCCTTGCTTTTCCCATTTGTGTGCTTCCCATTAGAAGGATGTGGTCAGCATCAGGACAGACCCGGGAGTTGTGCCTAGTGTGGAAACAATTTGTATAAATTTTTTTTAAAGCATGAATTTGTTGAGCTGTGGTCATGAAGGTGTCCTTATACGGCATTTCCATTTTTTAAAAAAATCCAATCTGCCTACATATTCACTCAAAAGAGAAGAGACAGCCAAACGTGCCCGCCTGTCTCACTCCTACGACCCAACCCCGAACCTGGTTTGTGCCCCAAATGACCAGAGGCAGGTGATGAGCTGCATTTCGTGGGAAGGTGAATAGCTTTCTGAAGGTGAACTTGGCACCGGCAGGCACCAGTGACTCCGCCCACCAGAGGTGTGCGTCTCCCGGCGTGGACCGCCCAGGAGAAACCCTCCCCGTCGGACCGCAGACGTGCGGCTGCAGCCACTTCCATCAGCATGGCTTTCGGTCGGTCCTGGGGACACATGACGCTCTGCCCGTCAGGTGCACTGGGCGGGGCCTGGGTGCCGTCAGGGAGCGTCCCACGTCCCTGGGTCTGTTTTGCATGGGACAAGCAGGCAGTGGGATGAACACGCCACATGTCCACACACTCAGCCCGTGGCCGATTTCCCATCTCACGCGGCTGACATGGGGGTCCTGACCAGGATGCCCCCTCACCGGTGCAAACTGACCCAACGGGTTCAGAAGCGCAGGTGGGAAGAGGACTTTTCCGTCCTGGACGCCTGTCCCTTCTGGGCAGCAGCGGCCCAGTTCCCCTCTGCAGACAATGCCGCCTCGCTCTTCAAACTACTTTGATCTTCCCAGGGAAGGAGGTGTTTTGAAAATGTGACAGGCACTCGAGTGGCAGATAATGGACTGATGGAGGGTGCGTAGGGGAGCCCTGAGGGCCGTCGCCGGCGAGGCAGGAGGCGTTACACACGGTTCGGGTATGACCCAGCCCTCCAGGACAAAAAATGAGAGAGGCATTTAATTGGAACACTTAGCAATCACAAAAGCCAGACAGAGGTTAAATTGTTTTGAGCAAGAGAAATTAATACATTAAAGGTTACATTTCCCACTGTGAGGCAGCGAGCCAGGCCCCTGGCGGCGTCAGGGCTCCATGAGGCGGGGACGGCTCTGAAATGATGGCGGACCCTTAACAAAAGGCGAAGGCAGAGGAAGACACTTCCCAGCAGGAGGGTGTGGGGAAGGATAAAGACGCAGAGAGAGCTCATTAAGAATGAATTGCAGACCATAAACATGTGAAACCACTAAGTGTGGAGCTCTATCTGTTATCTAATGGCTCAGAAATTACAAAACTGGCAACGACTTTCAGAAAGGGGTTGACTTTGCAGGAGGTTGTTCACCATCACACACACACACACACACGCACACACGCACACACAAGAGGTATCCTTTTTTTTAGTTGGGCAAGAAAATCTCTCGTCTTTGTAAATCAATGCAATTTAAGCCACCTCAGGCCATCCTCTGGCAGATTTTCTCCTGTATAACGATTGCACATTGTCTCAGATTCGGTTACGAGGACGTTGAAATGGACAGGAAGCCGTGGGAGGGGGAGGAGGAGGCGGGGAAGTCCACACGGGCGTTGCCCGTCCGACTGCGGGCTGACCCGCGACTTTGTCCTGGGGAAGGTCTGGAAAGCTCCGTCAGGAAAGCCTTTCCCACGGTTCCCCCGAGTGGGCTCACGCTTCGTCCTGAGGGAGGGCGAGTCCATCTGTGTTGTTGTGAGTGGAAGGGTTTGCCAGACACAGAGTCTGGCCAGATGAAATGAGCGCATGGACCCTCGGTGCACGCTCTCCCTTCCCCCGGGCACACCCTCCCCCTGGCAAGGAAAAGGGACCTTGGAACTGGAGTGACTGGAGACTCTGTGCTCTGGCCACCCGTGAAGTCTCCAATCCACTGAGGGATTTGGCACTGTGCTGTCCACCGCCCTACGCCGTGCGACCCACCCAAGTCAGAAACGGCAGCAAAGCCCGGAGCCCCGTGACTGGGCAGCACCCCCCAGGTCCCTGAAGTGCCTCCCGGGGAAACGGGTGACGCTCTGGTGACGTGTCACCCCCTCCCTGAAAGAGCTGAGCTCAGAGCAGCCCGGGAGAGTGCTGGGTGGAGAACAAAGCCCTGCTCACAGCTTCGAGAAGACAGGACACCACGTCAGTGTGACGTCCAGTGGGCTCCAGCACTCAGAGGGAGCACCTGCGTGGGGTCAGCACTTGGTGACAGCGAGCCCCACCTCAGCCCCTTCTCCAGTCCCCCCAGAGACACGGATGTGGACAAAGCTGTGGGCCCCTTTCTCAAGGCCTCCGGCTCTGTGGCTCCCGGCCACCTTTTCACATCTCATCCTTCCAGAGCAACCACCGGGAGAGGGGACAGGGTTTGCGTAAACCACAGGGCCTCTGAGTAACTGTCCCTGTTAAGAACCCTCAAGAGCAGATGTTCATCACCAAAGTGGGTCCCCAGAGGGTGTGACAGAGCCTCCCCAGGGAAAGCACCTCCCCCCCTCCCCGTCTGTCTCCCTGCCCTGCCATCACCGGGCTCGGCGTTTGAGGACAGGAAACTCTGTTCTGTGGCTGACCCGACCCTTGGTCAGCACCTGAGGCCTGCGACTTCCTGCTGGACCGATGGTCCTTTCTCCAGTGAGCTCCTGAGTGGCGCGTGAAGATCATACCACATGTACTACATACATATAATAGATGCGTTTACATGTGTATAAATATATATATTATACATTTTTGAGGAATACATATTTTGCACATATATATTTTGAACAATAGGTTTGCATTATGAGCATGGCCGTGCAGTTCAACACTGGCATCTCGTGTTTTCAGCATGTTGCGTGATCACATTTTCTAGTGAGGCAGACCCGCCCTCTGCTGAATGGTCGCATGGGGTCCTGGGTCTGCTCCGTGAGGGTCTGACCTGCCCAGGACTCAAGCAACATTCCAAAATACTCGAGAAGGGTGCGCGTGGAAGCCAGTATTCACAGGCATGGGCCACACGGATGAGGGTCCTCCTGAGGACGTGTCGATGGCATTTGTCATAACTTGGTGAGGCATTGTGTTCAACAGGGGTGGCAAGTGTGGCTGAGGACAGGCTGTACGTATTCAGAAACCTGAATTTTTATCTGTTCTTTAAATTGGACCACAGTGCCCTTAAATGAACAGTTCTCAAGCTCTGGGGTCCCAAGACCCCTTAACACTCTTCATATTTATTGGTGACATCAAAGAGCTTTTTATTCATGTGAAATATGTCTATTGGTATTTACCATATCAGAAACAGAAGTGGAAAAAGTTAGACATACTTCTTTATTCATTCATTTAAATACAATATTTTAAAATTGCTGTTTATTTTACGCTAATGCATTTTTAAAATAAAATAACTGCCTTTTTTCGAAAGCAGAAAATGAAATATTGAGTGACTGGCATTGTTTACCACTTTGCGAACTGCCTCACTGTGGGGCTTAATAGACGTCCGTGTTTTCATACCTGCTGCGTTTCACTCATGATGCCACGTGGTGCCTTTGTTGACATATATGGAGAAAATCTGGTCTCATACAGCTATGCACTTGGAAAAGGGAGACATTTTCTAATAGCCTTTCCAGATGACTGTAGACATTCTCCTGTGATATTGCACCAAAACTCGACAAGTTTCCTTAAAAGTTACGAGTAACGTGGGATCTGAAGCCAATCACTGAACGTTGGTACCAATATCACAACCCACGGGCCTCTCTGGCCCTGGGAATGAATTTTTAACCTGTGTGTGACTTGGCCACGTTTTGCACTGGTTTAAAAATATTGGCCCACTGAGCTACACCCATCTCCCAGAGGCTGGCCAATTTCGTTATCCGCCATCAGAACACTGAGTTCGTTAGTATCGCCCCATCTCATCAGGAAGGTCGCGTATGTTTCCAGAAGCTGTGGTGACAGATGACATTTTTCAAAATTCTAATTTTCATTCAAAAGGTTGAATTTTATCCTTGGCAACAGCCGTCGCCTGCTGTTTTCTTTAGAGTTTCACGCTCCCTTTTGTTGGTCTTGGAGAAAGTTTTCTGCCTAACACCCAGGTGTCAGGAACCCTCACTTTCCGTCTTGGGAAGAAAACTCTGCTCCGTGGCCGGTTCTGTCCCCCACCCCCCAGGCCATGCTGGAGCTTCCTGGGGTCCCCCGCTTCTCTGGGGGTGGCTCGCCCCCCTGCACGCGACACCCCGTCCATCACTCAGGACAGCACGGTGGCGCGGGTTCGAGGACCAAGGTTTACTAAAACAATTCCCACTGCTTCCTCAAGGCGAACAGCACCCAGGAGCAGGGTGAAGAGGGGGTTGGCCTCCCGGACGGCCGAGCAAGCCTCGCTCGGTGCCCACAGGTGACGATGAGCTGTACTTGGATGGACACCGATTTAAAGCAGGATTGTTAAAGGTAATGAGGCATATTCAATTGCACTGTCTAACATAAAAATAATTAATACAAATAAATCAATTAATGCAGAATTTGAGCCAGTAATAAGTAAAATGATTTAAAATATTATTTATGTAAGCTAATTGTAATACTTCGTTCTTCTAGATCACGATGGATATAATACAGGGTGGTATGGAGTATACGTGTCTGATTTATCAATACATAATCACAGCTATTTTGGGTCTGCATGCGCAAACTTTTAGAGACACACAGGGTCTGACAGAAGTAACGCCTGCGTGAGTGTGGTTGGTGCAGTAGTAATATGGCTGCAATAATTTATAGTTTTAATTTGAAAATTTCGTCTGAAATGTCAAACGGTGTGCTTGAGCGTGATACTGTTCAGTCACAGAATTACATGCTTCTGATTTTGTAATAAAAGATTTTGTAATAAAAAAGGGGTGCTGTTTGTGCCAGACCAGATTTATATATGTTCTCCCCTCACATAGGTGCTTGTAAGCAAATAATCGGGAGCTCCTAGGAACCTGTGGTTCCTGGACAGCCTTTAGGGCAGGGAGGGCGGCTCAGAGGGGGAGGGGGAGGGAGAGAGTTCCCCAGGGAATGGCGGGGGCGGAGCCACTTGGGGGCAGCCTCCGCCTGGGGAGGGCTGGGGAACAGAGCCCTTGGGCTACAGCTTCTGCCTCCTGTCCGTCCCTCCCCTGCCACATCCAGTCATTCACAAAGTCCCCCAGACCCTGCCCACCTGCCTGACAGCCCCGAATCCGTCTTCCCGCAGCCGCCCGCCTCCCCGTGGCTGCACGCTGGGTCCTGCTCACGCCGCCAGTGTGGACTTCCCGACCTCGGAATTCGAGTCTCCTCCGACTCCTGCGGACTCCTGGGTGCAGCTCTGGCTCCTCAGGCAGCCCTCCTGCCTCTGACCTGGCTGCACCGCCCCCTCGGCCCCTCTCTCCCAGCTCCCACCACCCCCAGAGATGGAGCTCAGTTCTGCACGTGCCATTCCTTCTAGGGATGCTCTTGCCCCACCTGCCCTCATCCCTCCCCCCCATCCTCTTCTTTGGTACCCACGCCGACCCCTGACCTGGATGAAACCAGGTTCTACAAAGATCCAATCAGCTCTTCTCTCCTTTGGGAGGGTCTTCTTCAGTTTCGGGTGGAACCCAGGCCACCTCTTTGCTTCCTCCTGTAGCCACGGGATTTCCCCTTCCCGGGATTCCGAGCTTCAGTTGGTCTGTCTGAGAAAGGTGGGTCCCCTTGCTTATCGTTGGCATCAGTGAGGTCAGCCGATTTGGTGCCTGGTGCTGCACTGGGCCCCTAGGCCCGCCGTGTGGCTGATCCCTGCTGACAGGACCTCTCGCCCCCCTGTGTTTGGCTGTGTGTTTCTCTTAACACCGTGCTCCGAGTGGGTGCTTACGGTCCACGGTGACCATTTTCTGCCACTCTGACCCCCTTCTGGATGCTGCAGAGGCCCCCCAAATGCTCGTTCAGTGGACGGCAAGATAAAATCAGAAACGAGAGCAAGAGACCATGGACTGCTCCGCTTGGTCTGGAAGCCACCAGCCACATGCGGCTGTTGAAATTTAGATTTCAATATGTGTAAATTAAATCAGATTAAAAATCAGTCCCCCAGTCACTTCAGCCACATCTGAAAGTGCCCAATGGCCCCATTTGGCGGGAGGTGACCACATTGGCCGGCGCCACCTGGAGAACATCCTCGTCCTGGCGGGAAGTTCCGCCGGGCAGTGCGGCGACTCCCCGCGTGTCCGGCCAGTGCGCTGATTCCCTGCCTCATACTCTGAAATGAGGACTTGCGCGCCAGTGCCTTTGAGAGGGAAAAGTGATGTCAGTACTCATGGTGACACGGTGTAGAAGCTCAAGCGCCCAGAAAGCCACTCCACGCCGTCACGGAGCGTGGGGAAGGCGTGGCCGCAGCAGAGGGCCCGTGGCCCTGGGACTGCTCGGCTCAGCACCTCATGCTGCCCGGCCTGGGCTGTCGGCCCGGACAGGGTGGTGGGGTGGGGCCGCCAGCCCTGCTGCGCTGGGGGCTCCGTCATGGAGACGGGGCGGCTCGTTAGCTCGACTGCAAGGGTGGCGGGGAGCCATTTTTGGTCTGTCCTTCTGCTGTTTGTAGCGTGGCCGCAGCCAGAACAGGCATTTAACGGCCTTTGGGGAGACCCGTCTGACTGCACTTGGTAGGCCTGTCACCACTGACGGGCTCTCTTTTCCTGGAAGTGACACAGCATGCCTTCGTCAGCCGAGCGGCTCCATCTCCTGTGGGCTTCCGTCCACTTCTACCAGAGCATCTACCGTCGTTGCCACGGTGCCAAATGCGCGGATGGTGCTCTGGGACCCCATTTCTCTTGACCTCGCCTGTGCTTCTAAACAGAATAACAAGCAATTGCCTCTAACGTTCGAGTGGAAGCCAATTTCCAGGGCCAGGACTGGCAGGTGGGGATTCGCAGCGGAGAGCCACGGCTGCACAGGCCTCTCTCTTGGTCTAGAACTTCCTCTCACGCCTGTGCCAGCGGCACAAATCCCGTCCAGAATGCACACCGCTTGTTCGTGCGCCATCCCGGCTCTTTGGACGAGAGGGCATCATTTGCTGGTGCACTGCCAAGGCAGCAGAAGTCGGGGACAGCTTTCGGGTTCGCGGTGCCAGCAGAGGCTCAGAGGCAGGAAGGGCTTCCCTGGATCTGAACCGCGCTCGGCCCAGGCTTTCAGGATGATGGATGCCCTGCCGCACGGAGCGCCCATGGCAGTGCGGCGCACCCGGGCTCCAGTGGAGTCCTCGGGCGCACGGAAGGCGTGTGCAGGCAGGGAGCGTGTCCCAGCGCCAGCCCCAGACCCTGGGGCGTTAGGGACAGCACAGACGCTGGAGGCCACCCAGCTCCAATGCCCACTTCTGTGGACAATGAAAAGGACACCCGATGAAGCAGAATGACATCCCCACGGCAGGGGACCAGGACCATGGCCAAGTTCTCTCCACTTCTGGACTCCTGTGGCCACTGTGGTCCTTGCTGCCCCCATGTTGAATCTGACACCTGGGTGGCAGTTGTCCCGTTCAGAAATTTTGTCTCCCCAGCTGAACTCTGACCTTCAGGAGGCTAGAGATGATTTTTCTTCGTTTTCTTTGTTTTTCTCAAGGAATGGGCATAGTCCAACCAGAAAAGACAAAACCGACACAAATAAAATCGATAAAGAGCAATCGCATATCAAACCACGTGTCAGGTAGGATGGGAATTCAGAGGAAGGGGATATTCGGGCAGACTCAACCCCTGGGAGGATTCACAGCACCTAAGCCTCCTCCGAACAAGTGGACCGGCGGGAGGAGGGGTCCGAGGCTGCACCCCCGCACAAAGGCTTGAGTGGCCCACTGGGCTGCACAAGGGGGGCTTTGGGGAAACGGTGGCAGAGAAGGTGGGGAGGTTAATTAAATGCCACGAGGGCCAGGTGGAGGGGTCTGTGCCCTCACAGTAGCTTTTGGTCGCTTTTGAGCTGGAAGCAGCCCGCATCTACTGCAAGGCAGATGGGAAGTGGTGAAGGAACGGAGGGGCCTCTCAGGGTGATTTGCAGAGTCTTCCTCACACGGTGAGTGAGATCAGAGCTTGTGGTTAGACGTAAACTGAGTCTAAATCCCAACATCGCCCTTCCTAGCGGTGTGGCCCTGGGCAAGGCCTAGTTCTTCGTTCCCGGCCTCGGCTTGCTACTCTGTGAAATGGGTTCACGTAACTTATTTCCAAGGACTGAGGTAAGGCCAGGTGTGATAAAATACAGCAGGCGCTTCGTTCAGTGCCTGACAAATGGAAAACACCCACTCGAGGGTGGTCGTCCTGGTTCCCCCTGACTGTAATGACACTGCATCATGGATTCAGTGGCCGAAGGTGACAGGAATTTATCTGGTCACAGTTTTGGAGGCTGGAGGTCTGAGATCAGCATCACTGAGCAAAGTCAAGGTGCCAGCAGAGCCCCCGCCGTCCGGCTGCTTTCGGGCGGATCCCGCATCCTCCCGTCCTGCACCGTCCGGGGCTGTCATCCTCGCTCTGCAAGGCCAGCGGTGGGACGCTTTCTTTGTGGCTCTGCGTCTCTCTGCCCCGTGATCAACTTGCCCTGTGCCTCCCTCTCATCAGGGTGCAGGTGGTCGTCACCTCTGGTACCGCCCCCCAACAACCCAGGACCCCGGATTCGTGTCCTGTGGCTACATGACAAACACCCCCAACCTGAGTGGATAGGAATGACTCTTCTGTCACCTCTCGGGGGGGCCAGCATTCTGAAACGGGGGTGTCTGCCCTCTGCCGCTGCGTCACTCTGCCCCTCCCTCGTCACGTGGTTCTTCTCTGTTTCTTCCCTTCTTGTGAGGACCCCGGCTGCTGCACTTGGACCCTGCCCGGCTCCACTGTGGCCTCCTCCTGGGTTCGTTGTAACTGCAAAGACCCTATCTCCAAATAGGGTCACGTTCTCAGGTACCCAGAACAAGGACTTGAACATAGAATTTTGGGGGACACCCTCCACCCCTGACTTGGCCCTTTTCAAGATCTTTGACTTTATCATGCTGTGAAACCCGTGGTGTCACATAAGGACACGTGGACAGGCACCCAGGGCAAGGGCCTGGACATCTCGAGGGGCCAGAGGACCGGAGCGGTCGCTGCGTGGGAGCTGAAAGAGTGGGTTGGTTCTCTGTCTCCCGCTCACTGATTAGAGAGGACAGGCATTGGGCCCGGTCCCTTCCAGTCGGACAGACCGTACCTGGCGCCCAGTGCCTCTCCGTTCCTGCCCCGTCGGGAGGGAGACTGGTTCAGGCACAAAGCAGGTCCCTCAGACAGGACTAGAGAGGGAACCGTTTACCGTAACAATGAAGGGGTTCAGGAAACCAGGGACATCCCAGAGAGGAGGAGCTGTGGGGGACGGAGGGGGACAGAGAGACGCTCCAGGAGTCCCAGGCAGGAGCCTGAGGTGACAGGAGGGCAACTGGGGCCCGTGTCACCATGGGGCGGAGTCACACTCTCACCTAAGGCGCCTCCCTGCCTCGACTCCCTGCATATTTCTGTCCGTCCTCAACAGCTGGCTCCTGTTGTCTGACCATTTCTTGCATTTCTCTGAGACCCCAGGGGTGTCATGGCTTGTGGGGGGCTTCTTGGTTCTCCGGCAGTGCCTTCCTCTGACCAAGCTGGAGTTCCCCAGGGGACAGGGATACAGAAATGGGGGACCGTGAGGAGAAACGCCAGAGACAAGAAGACAGTGACTGTCACATTTCTTCTGCGGTCCCCGCACGGTCAATGCTGGCTGGCCCAGGTCCACCACGGGGATTCAGCAGCATTGCCTGAAGGTGTGCGGGTCTCAGAGCCAGGGCCGGCGGGACAGGCTCAAACAGCACCGTAGATAAAAACCAAGATGGCCAGCGGTCTGTGGGCTGAAGAACAGCCCCGCACAGGTGTTGAAATCTGCCGTGTTTGTTTACGGTCACCTCCGCCCTGTACGGTGGGCACATATAAACACCCACGGAGAGCACAGGACCCTGGCAAGGCCCAGAGCACGGCGGGGGGGGGGGGGGGAAGCTGGTAAAAACCCCAGCAGTTGGACCCAGGACAACAGAAATACAGAGTGATTGACCCCTTATTTAAAACCCACAGGCACCTTCTTGCTGGGCACTCTGGACTCTGTCCCTGCCATGTGGCAGAAAATAAGAGAAATGTTTAGGGTTTCACGGAAACATTTCAGAGCCTGTATTATACCTCGACTTTCTTTCCCTTCCACCGAGACATCCTTTGCTGGAGCCCTTTATCTAGTGCTTTGTATACATATTTTTAATCCTATACAAAAATGATAGGATGTCAAGAAGGATCTATAATAACACCATTTTTTTCTTTCACTTCAAAGACTTGGCAATTTCTGATCCGTGTGACATTCACACTCCTTCAGGGTCAAACAGCATCTTGCAGCCTTCATAAAATGATTAAATATTTTAAACAGCTCCTGCTTATACCTCCATCGCCCCTGGAGACTGATACTGTTATCGTTTTTGTCAAAGCCAGTTTCCATCCGCATTTGTCATTCCTGCTTGCATTTATGAGTTATCAATCGTCAGTCAACATGCAAAGTAACTGATGTTCTTTGGGCGGTATTGGATGGTCTGTCTGGGGCTTTTAATCAATGCTGATTTTTATTTTCCATACCCGTACATAAATCTTCACCCTTCCGGGCCACATATAATGCATTTGTACGAGACGCCGTGACAGAAGCAGTAGTTATATTATCAAACATTATACCTCGGGGCTAACTGAGTACCGAGGGCTTTCGGAGGAGGGAAGGCTGGGAATTACCGCGTGGCGGACGCAGTTGCAGGAGAGCGAGTAAGCGATGGGTTGTTGCCGTTGATAAATCAACATCCTGCGAGCTAATCCTTCTCACTTAAATGCAGTCCGAACCCCCTCCCTGATCCTCTGCAACTGAGTCACTGTTTCTGAAAAGGCGAAGTTTGCATAATCTACACAAATAATAATGAGCCGTGTTTTCTATTTCCCTCGTGTTTCCCCGGGGGCATCCATTCAAATGGCAGAACGGAACTTTCTTAGCTGATCACTGGAATTTTCCATGCCATGTTTCATCTTCAGTTGATCTAAGACAGCATTTGCTGTGCCCTTTAAAAGGGCATTTGCCTAGTTGGAC